GACCCGTGCGCTCCCACAGAGAGGGCCTCCTCGGGGTGCCATCAGCCAAACAATGCAGGCAGGTGATCCCCAGGGGGAGGGCCTTCTCTGTGGGGGCACCCACCCTCTGGAATCAGCTGCCCCCAGAGATAAGGCGAATCCATGACCTCAGTGCCTTCCGCCGTGCCCTTAAAACCTTTTTTTTCCAACAAGCCGGGCTGGCCTAATTCTTTTTAAGTGTTTTTAATTGTTTTGTTTATCGGTTTAATTAATGGGGCCAAATTTATATATATATTTTTAACTGTATTTTAATATTTGTATGTGATGTTTTTATTTGGCTGTTCACCGCCCTGAGTCCTCAGGGAGAAGGGCGGTATACAAATTCAAAATAAAATAAAATAAAAATAAAAATACAGATATAAACAAATTACAATTGATGTGTGTGGATTACAGTATTCAGCACAGCATTCAATAGCTTATTTAAAGAATAAGAATACAATAATTACTACTGATGTTATTTTGAAATGTACATTTTAATATTTACCTATCTACCTTATTTTTACAGGCTGTTTAAAAGTTTATGTTGCATTTAATATGAAATCCAAAAGAGAGATAAGATTTGCAATATGTTTGATTAAATTTCCTGGATAGGGATTTAATATACAGTTGAAATGGACAAACCCTAGTTTCTGCAGAATACACCAAATGACACCTATTAGATGCTTTCACAAAGCTACCAATACTTGGGTATATCTTCTCTCAAAAATATTCACATGCCTCTGATATCTTTCCTTGAGTGGCATGCTGACGTATACCCACTTTGCAGAAGTACACAGGTTGATAAAGTTCAGCATTTTTAATGTTTTCTTGTATACAGTACTATCATTTCTATGTAATAGCAATCAAATCTGCATTGTGGTCACAGACCAGCATAAGATGAATATAATAGTAATTTTAAAAGTAACAGTATTTAGAATAGAATAGAATAGAATAGAATAGAATAGAATAGAATAGAATATTTTTATTGGCCAAGTGTGATTGAACACACAAGGAATTTGTCTTGGTGCATATGCTCTCAGTGTACATAAAAGAAAAGATACGTTCATCAAGAATCATAAGGTACAACACTTAATGATAGTCATAGGACACAAATAAGCAATCAGGAAACAATATGAATATAAATCGTAAGAATACAAGCAACAAAATTACAGTCATACAGTCATAAGTGGAAGGAAATGGGTGGTGGGAATGTTGAGAAGATTAATAGTAGTTAAATTTAATTAAATTAAAAACATTAATTAAATACAGGGAAACATAAAAATGACTATATGCTAACTAAATCTACCACAATATGAAACATTCTTAACTAACAAGTTAAATTTTTATCAAGACTGTTTGAGACAGAGGTCATCATCTGGAGGATTTTAATTGCTGCTGCACAGAACACAGCAACATTATAGCAAGGTTTGTATCTACAAGCAGGAGGGTGGGATATTAAATTATCCTATGTGCCATGGGTATTTATACAGTATTGTGAGAGGGTGGTTCATGCAAATGTCTATGAGGCACAGGTACTGAAGGAACATGTGCTCTCTTGTTTCTATATCCCAAGAGTCACCGGGAATTCTATTTAATATATAGATCAAAGTTTAATTATTGGGATTAAGTCGTATATTCATGTCCAATCCTAACACTAATAAAATCATTCGTTTTATTCATAGGGGTTTCATACAAATTCATTTATCATTTTAGTGAGTGATAGCATGGCAAAGCTCTTGATTTAAAAATTAATCAAAAGCATTATTCAAGGCATACTCATTTTGTTCTGGAGAACTTCCTATTACTGTTATTGTAAAAGACTAAACAATATGATTCTTTGATCTTATCCATAGGCATCCACAGGGGGTTAAAGAGGGATTAGTGATGTTACATACATTACATGTCATTATTCAAATAATGTGAATTATTCACCTGTGTGAACTGGTGTCATTCATCCAACAATGTTATATGTGCAAAATCTTTTTGATATTATCATGTCTTCTGAATACCTATCATCTCATCTATAAGACAAATCAAGTATGTGACTGTGTGATTGCATAATTTATTTAATTAACTTCTACAAATGTATTTTACCTAGCATCCTATTGACATAATAAATATTGTAGATTTCACATAATAGAATTATCTCACAATGAAACATCTTTTCTACTATGAATTTTGCATGAAAGCCATTTTTAAATTGTTTCAACCCAAGTTTAATGGAGGATATATTTCAAGAAGATCTACAGCAACATTAAGTACAGTGCATTTTAAGGATATATATATATATAGATAGATACATAATACTAAATCATAATTTATAATTCATAACTGTAGGCTATAATTAGATGAATTTCCCAGTTCTGTTTGCCAACAGATTGATTCCCCTCTGTTACATGATCCAGGAATCATACTGCTGGTGTTTTCTCAATAGCAACATTATATGACCTATTAAAAAGTGTGTGCGTATTTTGTACATGCTAGAAATCTAATGCTCATTGAGAAGACAAATATTCATCTAGGCTATGTAGCATATGGTGGCAGAGAGAGAGAGAGAGAGAGAGAGAAAATCCGCTCATTTGGAAAATAAATTAGTTATGGAAATTGCATGGCCAGAACCTTTTTCTTGATACCTACGTATTTTCTTAATTGCAGAAAACACTGTGTTTAAATCATAGGAAGAAATTACTGATGCAATGCATTAACCCTCACCTTCAGCTTCTAGAAACAAATTTTCTTCCACAAAAACAAAACATGATCCAAAATGATTAACACCAACTGTCTGCAATTACTGTAAGTTTGAATCTCACCAGGCTCAAGGTTGACTCAGCCTTCCATCCTTTCTAAGGTAGGTAAAATGAGGACCCAGTTTGTGGGGGCAATAAGCTGACTTTGTATAAATATACAAAAGTATGAAGGCTATTGCTTAATGCATTGTAAGCCGCCCTGACTCTCCGGAGAAGGGCGGCATATAAATCAAATTTAAATTTAAAAAAAAAATACATTGTAGATTGTCATCCAAAAGCATGACTTAAAATAACAACATGGCCATCCCCTTCCATACTGTTGCCAAAAACTGTATGGAAATGTAGATGAAATGTCTAGGAATTGAGCTTGATTTGAGGAAAAGCTGCATTTACCTTTACCAGCAATACAAAACCACAGTTGTAGATGAATATAAATCTTTCTGACAGAAAAACAATTAGAGGCAACATGCTTTGAAGGGAGAGAGTCAAAGAATAACCTTAATGAATGCACCATAAAGGGGAGATGGGCTGAAAAAAGCTTACAGAATTATAGAATGGCACTGAATTTGGGTTAATAGGTCACTGGGCCCTTGGGGGCAAGCAAGCTAGATCGCCCCATGAAAAATTAATTTTCCCCATAGTAACCAAGCATTTTGCTTTTACTGGACTATTAGTGCATGCAGTAAAATGGCACAACCATGTTTAGTCTATTTATACCCAATCTCTAAATTTTGAAGGTTTAAAATGCAAAACTCATTGGAATATGGGAATTCTTTGGGTTTGCAGCAATTAGCTATCCCAATTCTGAATTCCCCCTCCAATACCATCTTTTTCTATTGAGTACTTTCCAGAATCCAACACATTACATTTCTACTATAAAATACTAACCTATATATTTCATTCATTTTTGGTAGGATTTATTCTCAGGTAAGTGCAATTTTAAAATTGGCAAGCAAGAATAAGCAAACCATTGGTAAATGGTCCTGATAGACATACCATTCAAATGCTGGAGCAATTATAACGTACATAAAGCAAATAAGCAAATATTTGGAAAGAATTTAAATAACATTATAGAACAAAGACCATTTTAGCATCTGAGTCTTATGAAAGAAAACCTAAATATATATTATTGGTAGATGGCATGGTTCCACCCATGGGTCAGATGTCCCTGTGATCCCTTAAAATTTTTCTGCCTTCAATTTTACAACCTTGGCTTTCACTGCTTCCTGGCTAAACCCACAGATGGTGTTTCAGATTCAATATCCGAAGAAGATGGATTTAAAATGCTAACATTCAGGCTGCAGTGGCAGAAGAACTTCACAGTGTAGTTTCCAAAAGGCAATATCAAGTAAGAATTCTCACCATTCAAATGGCTAGAATTCGAGACAGCCTTAGCAAAGTTGTCTGTTGCCCTTTCACTGGAGTTGCTAAAAGAATTAGCAGAGGCCTAGAATCTTGTTTGGGGAAGCCATACAGTACAGGTAGTCCTTGACTTACAGCCATTCACTTAGTGACTGTTTGAAGTTACAAGAGCCCTGAAAAAAGTGATTTACAACCTGAAAAAAGTGATTTACAACCAGTTCTCATTCTGCAGCCATTGCACCATTCCCACGGTCATGTGATCAAAATTCAAGCTCTTGGTAACTGACTTACGTTTTATGATGATTACAGCATCCCAGAGTCATGGAATTGTCATTTGCAACTTTGGCAGCAAAATCAATGAGGGAAGCGGGATTCGGTTACTGACCATATATTTAACTGCAGTGATTCACTTAACAATCATGGCAAAAAAAGGTCATATGATTGGACACGACTCACTTAACAACTGCCCTGTTTAGCCATGGAAATCCTGGTCCCAGTTATGGTCATAAGTCAAAGACTGCCTGTACAGCATGTTATGGCTTGGCTGAATCTAACCGCAAGAGAGGCAACATATCATGGGGTGAAGAGTGAAGAAGTTATTCCTTCCATTTTCTGAAGGCTAGAAAGCTTTGGTCTTGCTAAATTGCTCTTTTCCCACTCTAGGGCACAGGAACACCCTCATGCTAGGAAAACCGATGGGATCCCTGTGATTCCTTGGCCAACCCTCCAACACATCTCTCTTTGGAAAGCTGCATGGCCTGAACTTGCAAGCGGTATTTTGAGGAATGGCCTGCTTTCACGTGAGCCGCGTTCATTCGGGCAGATTGGCAATGGGAGCTCTTCGCCAGCCTCTCTCCCCGCCGCCCACGGGCCAGCTGCTCGGCATTTCCAAGGGCTCCAGCGGCTTCTGACCCTGGTGCTGAAACCTAGAAACACGGCGGAGGAACTACCGAGGCTCCGCCGCGCACTCCGAACAAAGCGGGAATTTGAGCTTTCGCCAGGGAGAAACCCACCCTTGCGTCTGCGGAAAAGGAGCCTTGGTTTGACTAAGGAAGCGCGACGGTAGGGCAGCAGTGGCCCCGGACCCCACCAGCAACGCCGGAGGAGTCGGCGCCAGAGATTTGCCTCTTCCGAGCCACCCTTGAAGGCAAAGGAGCAGATAAAAGGGGAATCGCGCGTTTCGAGCGGGATCCGCACCGCACCTGTGTACCGCCCTCCCCAACTGTCCCCAACATGTTCATCTACCACCGTGACGACCATCCCGCCTGCAGAGACCCCACCCCATATCGGCCACCACCGGTAAGAACAAGTGCTTGAATTGGTCGCGTGAAGTTGGCTTCTCTGGCAAGGGAGCAGGGCGAGCCTCTTCCCTTCCATCCTCGCCAGGGCTGGAAGAGCGGCTGTCCCCACCCGTTGCTCTCTGCCGTCGCCAGCCCTGCTGATTCCCCCCCCCCTTTACCTGCCGCCTGGAGATGAAGCCAGAGGAAGACAAGGGAGGCTGCCGTCCTCCACATGGTGCCTTGGTGCAGCTGGGAGAGCATCGCCCCAGCTGCCGCTGGCCGCCAGAGATGCCAGGCTTGGCTTCTGATCAAGGCTTTCCTCCTTCCTGGTGAATGAGCATGCTTGAGAAGTCCACGCAGATGCAGTAAGGGCCGCGAAGCTGCTGCCCTCTCCTGGCTCAGGAATTCGCCAGGCGGGCCCTGGGAAGGCAGCCAGAGAGCATTCTGGAGGAACTGCTGGGTGGGTGAACTAAAAGCGCAGAGCGGCCGAATTGGGGTCAGGAAGAGGGGGACAAGTCCAGGAGACCTTGAAAGGAAATTGGTGGAAGAGAGGAGGTAGCGGAGAGAACAGCCTTCCTCAAGCTGTGGAGGGGGGGTGGTCCAGTGGTGGGATTCAAGTAATTTAACAACCGGTTCTCTACCCTAATAATTTCTCCCAACAACCAGTTTGCCAAACTGCTCAGAAAGTTAACAACCGGTTCTCCAGAAGTGGTGCAAACTGGCTGAATCCCACCACTGGTGGGGTCCTTCAAATAGGTTGGATTTCAACTCCCATGGCCGCATCAACCAGAAATGCAATGGGGGATTATGGGAGTTGAAATCCAATTCTCCAGACAACCAGACTGAGAAGACTAGCCTGGAGATATTCTAATTCAACTACTACAGCTGATTCACACACACACACACACACACACACACACACACACACTTTTTTTTTTTTTTTTTGCTCCCTTTCCTGATTAGCTCTTAACGGATCTTACAGGTCAATATATTTTTATATATAATTTAAGATAGTGAAACAGTTTGAAACAATTCACAGAACAGCTGTCCTAATGCCTTGAACTCGTCAGAAAAGAAGGAATGCTCAGAGGCAGGCATCACTTGGCACTGCCCATTACTTTACACAAATTGCTGCTTTAACTTAGTCCACCACATAGTTCATTTTAAACCCACAATTTATTTTCATAACTCAAGTTCTGAAAATTATAGGTAGCTAGTTCAACCCTCTGAGATTAATATCAAGTATGCTCTTTAAAAGCAAATTGTAGAAGCAAGCTTGGGTGTCAGGATAAACTAATCAGTTATATTTCTTGGCACACTTCATCTTTTTCTGGTTAAGCCCATCTCCTTAATGGGATTTTGGTCTCACTTCTTGTTTACTGTCTTGGATTGGATACAATCCAGACAGTCAAGAAAGTCTTTTGCTTCCATAAGCCTTTAGCTAAAACTTAACTTTTCTCATTGAGGCCTAGCTTCATTAATTCTCCAAGATGTGAATCAGCCTACCTGAATTAACGCTCTTAGATCTAACCTTTGAAATCTGGATTTCTCTCTCTGTTCTCAAGATAGAATATGATCAGCTGAAGCAAATACCATAAAGGAGATTGTCAGGCAGACCTAGGGAAGGTCCCGGCCTTCCTGTCATCAGCAAATATAAGAAAAATAAGTCACTTCTCCAGGCTGACTCACACAGCTAGAAAGCTCCAGTCATGGGGAAGCTTTTACCCTCACCCAATGTCACATTTTCCCTTCTGCAGTTTTGGATGGCAAATATATATTAAAAAATGAGGATTGGCTACAAGGCTCTGCGTTGTGATTCTGGAGAGACAGAAGCCACAGAACATGTTCTACTTCTTTGCTCCTTTTATAGAGATGTTCAAACCAAATTTATCTTCCATAATTGTCAGATATTCTGGTAGCTCAGCCTTTGTCTATGTCCAAATGCTTTTTACAAATAAACTACCATGTATGAAGGGACATGGTGGCTCAGTGGCTAAGACGCTGAGCTTGTCAATCGAAAGGTCTGCAGTTCAGCGGTTCGAATCCCTAGTACCACATAATGGGGTGAGCTCCAATTACTTGTCCCAGTTTCTGCCAACCTAGCAGTTTAAACGCACATAAAAAATGCAAGTAGAAAAATAGGAACCACTTTGGTGGGAAGGTAACAGCGTTCCATGCGCCTTTGGCATTTAGTCATGCCAGCCACATGACCACAGAGACATCTTCGGCTTTGAGACAGAGATGAGCAAACCCCCTCACCCGAGTCAGAAACAACTAGCACATACGTGTGAAGGGAACCTTTACCTTACCATTTATGACAGCACACTGGATAGGTATGTAAGTTTTGAGAGCCAATTTGGTGTACTGGTTAAGGAATCAAACCAGAAATGAATTCTAATCTTGCTTTGAGCACAAAGTCAGCTGGGTGGCCTTGGGCCAGTCATTTTCTCTCAGCTCTGGGAAGGAGGCAATGGCCAACCACTTCTGAAAAACTTTCCCAAGAAAATTGCAGGGACTTGTTCAGGCAGTCTCTGAGAATCATGCACAACTGAATGGAAGAGGAAAAAAATTTGCTGGAACTTGAGAACTCAAGTCTACATTTTATCTAACATTAAGTATGAACATATTTTATGTAACTTTAGATATTAACTCATTTATAGCCTAGACTTAATTGCTTTTTTTATTCCACTCTTGTGTCCCACTCAGGATGTTTTAGAGGTGTATTTTAATTTTGTTTTAAATTTTTATTTACTGGTTTCTTAAACTAAACTGTTTTGTAGGTTGTTACAGATCACTTATGGATATACTTCTGGTACTGATTGGAGAACACAATAAAACCATTGGCTGACTGAAATAGTAAGAAATAATAACTATTCTGGAAAAAAGCAAACTTCTTGTATAATAGTAAGAATTATAATAAATATTAGCAAATTATTTTTTTCATTCTACAAAGCAGATAATATTTATTTGGGCTAAATATGAACTATGCTGTAACCATAGAGATTCTCAGAATGGCATATATAGTAAATTTTTCCTTAAGCATTCAGAGAAGAGAGGTGATATATTACATTACGTCAAATCTGTCAACATGTTTAATCTCAGACCCAAATAAGAAATTAATAGTTGCTAACAAAGCAAATTATACGGACACATTTTGGTCTGAAATGTCAGTGAAAGGGTCTAATTTTGCAATATTATAGAATTCTGCATATGATATAATGAAGAAATGTAAAATATTCTTTTATGTCCTTATTCCAGCCTTTGTGTGGGAAGGTTTTTAAGCTATTTGTTTGCAGATTGCAACCAGGGTTCCACGCATGCCAGTAGGGTATGTATGTATGTATGTATGTATGTATGTATGTATGTATTTATTTATTTATTTATTTATTTATTTATTTATTTATTTAATAAATTTTATATATTTTTAATAAAAGCATTTAATATTCTTTTATATGCAGTTACATGGCTTGGATGGCCTCCTTCCAAGTAGCCTGAGAAGATTGCTACAAAATTGTCATTGTAGACAATTGAGTTGGGGCAAGTGATAGAACGTTTATCAAGACTCTGTGTTTCAAAGCCTGTGACTTTGCAACGTGGTATCACTCTTCATTTTATTTTGTCATTGTGACTAGCTCAGAGACCTGTAGAACTCTTAACTCTTAAATAAAGCTCTTTAGCTCTTAAATAAAGCTAAAATAAATTGTTAGCTTTATTTAAGAAATACACAAAAACTTGAGGCATTTGGTCTATAATCTATAGCTATCTGCAGATTATTGGTCCATTTGGTTTCATTACTGGAGAGAAGAGGAATCAGGAATGAAGCTGAACTGAACAGGATAGAAATATTACATGGATCTGAGAAGGAGGGAGAAATGAAAATGATGACATTCTGACAGGATGACCAGTGGAATTAAAAGGAAATGTGTTATCTAATGACATACGAAGAAAGTCATTTACCCAAGTAAAGGATCTAACACTGAAGAGTTCCTCTTCTAACTATTTCTTGTCCCTAAGATGTTAGGTTAAAATGCTTTTAGAGGCAGATAAACAATAAATGCAAAGTTGAATTCCAATACGTTTCGAAGGACTTTGAAAGTAGAAGAGCTTGACACAACCAGTCACTTCCTTTCATAACCAAGAGTAAATGAATGCTGCTTGAAAGAGATACTGGCCACCACTTTGTATTCATAATTCTTAAAAAGAGGTTGAAATTTGCACCACAGCTGTTTCTGCTGGGTATAGTTACGGATTGTACGGTTATAGAGACTAAATTGATTTTGAATTTAATAACTGCAGCAAGATTGTTGGTGGCACAATATTGGAAGAAGCAAGATTTACCTACAATCCAAGAATGGACATTGAAAGTTATAAACCTAGCGGAAATGGCAAAAATTTCGGCGTACCTGAAGGACCATTCAAATGAAAGATATTTAAGGGACTGGAGAAGATGGATAGATTATATCCAAAATAAATACCAGAATAAGAAATTGCAGATAGGTTATGAATGATTATACAGATATTTGGTGTCTGTTTAAGTAATTAAGTTAGTAGGGAAATTAGGGAATTGAAGGAACAAGAGATGTGGAATGTTATAATTATCTAGACTAGAATTGATTATGATTGTTGAAGGTTATACCCTATAACTTGTTCTGGGAAGAGGAGGGGGGGTGATTGGGAAGGTAAGGGAAGGGGGTGGGGGAGGTAGGGAAGGGGGGGAATATGTAAACTTTTTGTAAAACTTTTCAATAAAAAAAAAGTCATACATTTCGGAACAATTGTATTAAAATTATATCTTATGAAAAAATCAATACAAAACCTGATATATAGACTAGAATAGAATAGAATTTTTTATTGGCCAAGTGTGATTGGACACACAAGGAATTTGTCTTGAGGATTGAGGACATTTGTTTGAAAAAAATAACCAGAAACAATTAAAATGTATATATTAGGTGAAATGCATGTAGATTTTCTTGCAAATATTTAAATAAAATAAGCACTTGCTGATTGACGCACACCAGAATCAGCTCCCCATTCATAAGAATCAAAATCTTTAGGAAGTAAAATAGATGGATTAATCTGTCCCTGTCCTCTTATATATTAAAGCATGCATGCCCAGTCAACTTCTTAACAGATGGGCAATGCTAAGAAGATGGAGCAGAAGTCAGAATAAATTACATAGAAGGGTACCCAAGTCTAATATATGAGGAAAACATCGCTTAAATGGTTCCTATTTTCCTTGGTTAACTAAATAATCTGATCATGTCATTCACAATAAATCATGTAGTTTCAGCAAAGTAAGGGAATAGAGTGGAGGTTCTTATTTCTTTGAATAAAGGAATATATATATATATATGTTTTCTGAGGTTTTCGCAGGTGTTTGTATGTAGGTCTTTGGTTATTCGGGTTTTCTCCCATGTAAAATTGGAGGTTTCTTGGCAACGTTTTTTGTTCTGGAGATGAGTGTCTTGGCTACGGAGTTGATCTGTGCTGGGTGGTGGTGTGAGAGTGCATGCAGATAGCGGTTTGTGTGTGTTTTCTTCTGGTAGATGGTGTGTCCTAGGGAGCCATTGGATTTTTTTGTAGACTAAGACATCCAGGAAGGGAAGTTGGTTGTTCGTTTCTGTTTCCATGGTGAACTGTATTTTGGGGTGTAGGCTGTTGAGGTGTGTGAGGAAGTTGTCCAGTTTTTCTTTCCCATGTGGCCAGATTAACTGGACAAGATTAACCGTAGCCAAGACACTCATCTCCAGAACAAAACGCTTAGCTGACGAACAACACCTAAAAACCGAACTACACACTCTCACTAACGTACTAACATCCAATGGATTCCAAAGAAATAAGATTACCAACCTAATCCAAAAAGAAACCCCCACTAAAATCCAAGACAGAGAACAAGAAAACGGCAAAGCCCTCCTCCCATACATAAAAGGCACCTCAGACAGAATCAGCAAGATCCTCCACAAACACAACATCAAGATAGCATTCTGCACAAACCGAAAAATATCCACCATCCTAAGAAACCCCAAAGACAAAATTGAGTTAGAAAATCAAGGAGTATATGAAATCCCATGCCCCGCCTGCCCCACCACATACATCGGACAAACCAACAGAAGAATAAGTGCACACATTGAAGAACACAAGAACTCAGTCAGAAAAGAGGAACCAACTTCTTCCCTGGTCCAACACCTCAAAGCCACAGGACATGATATTGACTTTAAAAAGACCAGAACTATCGCCAAAACTGAACACTTTAACAACGGAATAATCAGAGAAGCCATCGAGATAGAAAAACGTCCACACAGCATGAATAAACGAGATGATACCTCCCACCTACCAGCCATTTGGAAACCCGCCCTTATTGACAAACGAGTCCCTAACACAAAGAATGACACCAGACCCACACTCACGAGAGCCACACAGGATGTAGCCACCACACATCCACGCAGAAAGCAGACTTGAACCCACACTGATGATGAAGCACGACCCCGGACCAGAAGCCAGACCACAGCTGCATCATTAGCCACCTTAAACCCCTCCAATCCATACATGAAGCAGACCGACACCCACCATGAAGAGATAGCACGGCCACGAACATGAAGCCAAACAACAGCAACACAGCTCACCAGCTCAAATCCCCCTGCTACTCAGACTGACCCAAGCACAACCAAGCCCCCACCTAAACAGAACACACACCCATCCAATCAGAGCACAGCCAACCCCCCATCCAATCAGAGCACAGCCAAACCCCCAACCAATCAGAACACACCTCTGCCCAATCAGAACACAGCCAAGCTCCCACCCAATCAGTTCACACCCCTGCTGGCAGTTAAAAGGAAGAAACAGCTGCGATCACACACATTGCTCCTAGAAGCACGAAGCCGAGAACACCAGCCTGAAGATGACGAATGAGACTTCGTCGAAACGTTGCCAAGAAACCTCCAATTTTACGCGGGAGAAAACCCGAATAACCAAAGACCTACATATATATATATTTGTCTATGTAAGTTTTCACGGGTATATATGTGTGTACAGTTAATATCTCGGGTTTCTTCCCATGTAATTGTAAACATATCCTTAAAAGGGTAGTAGCGACGTTTTGACGAAATCGCATTCGTCATCTTCTGGCTGATGTTCTTGGCTTGGTGCTTATGGGCAAACACACACACACACACACACACACACATAAAAACAAACATTGGATTTGTAATTCATATGACAAGTTTGCAGCCCAAATGAGCTAATTAATATTGTGATGCTGCTATCCAATCACTGATATTATAAGTTGGCCTGAACTACTCCAGGGAGAAAGAGGCACACATAGAGTTCCTAAGTAAAGGGAGGATTGCACTATAGACAGCATACCTGTTTTCTTTATATCACTTCAATTTTGGCAGAAGAAATTCTCAAATTACAGGTAGCCCTTAATTTACAACAGTTTGTTTCATGATCATTTAAAGTTACAATAGCAATGAAAAAAATGACTTATGACTTATGAGTTGTAAGTATAATTTTTCATACTTACAACTGTTGTGGCATTCCCATGGTCACCTGATCAAAATTCACTTAACAACCATGTTACTAATTTAGCAACTGCAGTGATTCATTTAACAAGTGTAGCGAAAAGGTCATAAAATAGGACAAAAGTCACTAAGCACCTGTCTCACTTAACAACAGAAATGTTGGGCTCAGTTGTGGCTGTAAGTCGAGAACTACCTGTATTACCAAGACATATTCTTTGTCCATCTAACACAGTATTATCTATTCTGATCCATAGAAACTTTCCGGGGTCTTTTAATTGATGCTCTTAACTGGACATGCTGAACACATTGCTCCAGTCTGTTGTCTTCTAGATATTTTAGAGTACAATTTTATTTTAGAGTTTAGAGTTTATTTTATTGATTAGCCCTTAGGCCATATCAAAGTGTAGAGTCTCAGACACAAATTATTACTAAAATCTGATAAAACAATTTAAAATGGAATTGGATAAAATACAATTTTAAATGAAATTGGAATAAAATATGATTTAAAATGAAATTGGAATAAAATGCAGTTTAAAATGATAGCTTTGATTAGCCTATAGGCCATATCAAAGCACAAGGTGCAAACACATATCACCAATAAAATCTTATACAAACAATTTAAAATAACAGTAGGGTAAAATAGAAAAGCTACAATATAATTTAATACATAAATGTATAAAATAGAATAAAATGACATAAAATTATACTTCAGTGTCACCCTTACAATCTAAAATTTTATTTTAAAAAATGTTGATTTCAAAAGGTAAAAGGCCAAATACAAATAAAAGACAAAAAAAACAAAGAATAAGAAAAACTACAGACAAAATAGGAAAAAATTAACAATACTGGGTAAAAAAGGAAAAGAAAAAAAGATGTACAGTATATAACAGATATACAATTAACATTAAACATAACATCCACCCTGGCTGAGTGTTGATAAATATAACTCAAACAAATCTAATAGATTTCCTGTCTTGCTTTACAGGTTTACAAATGGTTTAAATTTTTCCATCTATACTTAACTAAATTACTATTTTAAATTACAATCTCTTAACAAATATCCCAAATATAAAATATTATTATCTATCAATCAGATGAATCCAATCTTTGTTTAATGTAAAAAAGCTTTTAATTAGTAACCCAGAAACTTAAATTAATCTTCAAAATCCTCTGTTAATAGTCCGTTGTTGTACTTAACATTCAGAAACTCCACAAATGGCTTCCAATCTCTTATAAACCTGCCCAAACCATTCTCTAATCCATACAGTTAATTTGCCAGGTGTGTCAGTTTCAGGATCTATTCTTGGTATTCCCTTTTCTTTCCAGTATTTGGCATATACAGTCCTTGCAGCAGTCACCATGTACAAAAATAAAGTCCCAAATTGTTTCTCTATCAGTTTATCCATAATACCAAGAAGAGAGGCTTTAGCTTTCATTAATATTTGCATTTTAAGTATTTTCTGCATAACCATTATTATATTTATCCAATATGATTTAAGATGTTTACACCACATGTGATAAAATGTATCTGGAATTTGATTATATTTCCAATATTTCTTGGAGGTTCCCTTATACATTCTTGCCAATCTGTCTGGGGTCAAATACCATTGATCTATCATTTTATAAAAGTTTTCTTTCTGAATGTAATTTAGAGTAATCTTCAAACTATTAGTCCACGTATTTTTCCCATTGATCTAGCATAATGTTTATGCTAGATAAAATCTACCATTTTTTTTGCCCATTTTATCATAGAATACTCAACATAGTTCATCCTAAGTAGCATTTTATAAACTTTAGAAATCAAATGGTCACCACAAAAGCTTAAATTGGATTCTAATTCAAATTTATCCTGCAAAAACAAAACTTTTTTATTGAGTTTAAATCTTTCAAATATTCTATAATAATTAAACCAGTCACATTTAAATCCTCCACTTACTATTTATCCCCTTGCTTTTAATCTTAATTTCCTCTTCACCAAATGTCAGTAAATCACAATATGTCAACCATTTGACTTTGCTTAACATCTCTTTTCAGTTCAATGCTTCATGAAGTTATATCTACAGTGGTACCTCAGATGCCCAATCGACT